TTCTAAAGTGAAATAATAGGACACACATGTAAATACTGAATTTTTTCTCTGGTGTGATAAACTAAAAGTGTAAATAAGGGTCAAAATGTGTAATTGATATTTTGTAATAGGAAGAAAAGGTCTAAAGGTATTGGGCAAATGAGAGGGGTAGGGGAAAGGTAAAAAGGGAAGAGAAAAGAAAAAAATAGAAACAAAGTCTTTGTAAATAGGGAAGGGAGGTAGGGGGAACGGAGGCTAGGGGAATTGGGTAAAAATAAGAACCAAGATATGTCACATAAAGCTACAACATCCCAATGATGAATATAACTATTGTATATCTAAAATATACCAATAAAATATTTTTTAATTCCAAGGAGACAAAACTAACTTTTGTTTTTAAACCATGTGTTTTAAAACCATATTGTTAGAAGCATTATGAATCAAAAGTATTTTAAAGAACATTTCAGTAATGGAAGATCTTCCGAAAGATTAGTGAGTAAAGATCACATACATACCTTGTTTTTAAAATAAACCTCAATTGGCAAAATGAAACCAGCATACCCAGATTCTTCTACTTTGTAAGGTGGATCTTTGCACACTGCAACATTAAAAAGGAAAATAGGAAAGATGAGATTAAAACGTTCTTTTTCTAAAAGGAAAAAAAAAATCCCATTCTACCACATAGGTCACTCCCAAGTTTCACAGCCCTTTGGTAACTCCAAAGCTAAATCTCAGATCTATTTTTTATTTCTTTTCTAGGCTTTGTAACACTAATTTGTCCTATCTAAAGCAAAACTTTTAAGTTATTTAACAAAATTTTGAGCAAGCTCCTTGCAATTAACCATGGTCATAACGAGTGGACAGCAGCTGTTACCACCTGCTCTAAAGCTTTAGAGAAACTGCACTGCACGCAGCTCCTATTCCGAAGGCTCACACAGAACTCAGTTTTACCAACAAAACTGCTACCTGTGTCTGCGCTTTGGTGCAAATCACTCCCACTTACACTCCTCACTTGTTTGAGATGTTCCAGTTCCTATGTCACCCTCCATAGTTTGTCAATTTTATTGATGCCCATAAAGACTTTCAACCCTCATCTTTCTCCCCACAAAAGGAAGGCTTACTGAAAGTCTGACAGACATACAAACACTTTTAAAATATAATCACATCACAAGAGTACAAAAGAAACAATAGGGCTTTGTATTTCACATGGAATTAGTAGGAAGCAAAACTATTAGGCAATCTCTAGGGAATAAGAATGCCTAGGAAACGAAGCCCCCCCCCCATTCCCATTAAACTAAATCCAATCAAAAGCCAACTGAAATTATCCAGGTTAAAACCACACTTTCATGGTTTCCCAGGGTAAAGCTGTGTAAATTGAATATCAAGCCGTGTAAGCCGGTGCCCCAAGTTCTCCTCAGCAGCCCAAGCTTACCTTGCTGCCAAGCTTCCTCCCTTTACACATAGCACAAACCCTGAGTTTCATTCAGACACATCCACCCTAGATGCTGAGCGCTCCCGTCTGGGCCTCCTCCTCTTCCTGTTCCTTCCATCATACCTTGAGGCAACTTAGTATGTTTTGCTCATTTAAATCCCAGTTCTAGGCTGTGAAACACTAGCATTCCTCCTCCTTTGAGTCTCCCCAAGCATTAACTGTCCCAGTCAGTGCTCCAACACTTAACAGGGTCCCTTACAACTGTACACTCAAGAATCTCACCTGCTAAGTCCTTCCCCTCCTCAGAGACAAAAAGAATGTTCACCTCAGGATGATAAAGGCTATAGGAGCAGCACATATGGCTGCCAATCTATGACTCACCTCAAACTCTAGGCTATCTCTGCAGTCAATTCAGTCCTCTGAAACTTAGGTTCCTCTTCCACACAGTGAGAAGATCAAGCAGGGTAACAGTCACAGACTGAACGTTTGTGCCCTCCCATTCACTTTGACATCCTAACCATGGATGGTAACAGTACTAGGAAGTGAGGCATTAGGGAGATGACTAGGTTGTAAGAGGGGAGCCCTCATAAATAGATTTAGTATCCTTATAAAAAACTCCTGGCCTCTTCCTTTATGTGAAAACACGGCAAGAAGACAGCAGTCTGCAACCTTGGGGGACCTTCCCCAGAAGGGAGCCTTGTTGTGACCCTGACCTTGAACGTCCAGCCAGCAGAACCGTGAGAATTATGTTTCTGTCATGTATATGTGCCCAGTCTGTGAGCCTTGCCATCTGTTTGAATGGAATAGGCAAGTAATGAATACAAAAGTTACATTATGGCTTCTGGCATAATAAGTGGCTCTTACGAGACAGGTAATCTAATTGCCATGTAACTTCTTCAGATGAAAAGAAAAAGGAGGCAGCAGGTAGAGGTACTGGATTTGGATGAGAACATGCAGGCCCGTGGCTAAGAGCTAGAAATGCTCTAGACAGCCTATATATCCTCTCCCTTTAACTGGGAGGAAGCACCACCTACCTCTACATCTGTGAGCATGGCTGGAACAAGCAAGGAAACCATATGAGAACTATGTATAAGCATGAGGTATTTTTATTGCAAACAATGACACTGATAATATATGTGAAAAACGGCTGCATATGCTAAAATGCAAATATGCTTATAAAGGGGTATGCTAAAGGCAAACTTCTGATGTCTAACTGTCCCAAATTTCCCCAACCTGATGTCAGAAAAACTAAAAATGAGACATCTCGCTTGAACTTACAGATTTTTTTTTTAAAGTAACCACCCAGACCAGCTTCTGTCTTGCATGCACTGACCAGCTGCCAACCTGTCATGAATATTCAGACACTCTGAACACTAGGGTAGGGACACTTCTAAACTCACTGCACACCTCACACCCCCAGAGCCAGGGCTGGTGTGGCACCATGGTGTTTCCAGGCCACTCGGCCCTTTCCCAACAGCAGTTTCAGTGTCCGGATTGGTTGGGATTAATTATGCCAGTGTCGTTTGAAGGAAGTTTATTTTGTGGGCCGCTGTACAGGCCAGAGAAGTTATAGCTGTTCCTCTAAACACCCTTTGTGTAATTCATTCCCTCTCCTCTGCATGCAAACAGCTCCTATTATAGGAAGCAGCTGTTATAGGGAGCACATCTTATAGTTGAAGGTCTTGGATTTTTCCAACCCCCTAAAGGAAATGATCTATGTATTAATATTTCACAGAAGTCTGGTTTTATAAGAAAATGTTTACCAATTCATACTTCAATTATTTTAAATGTTTTCATCAATAACAATGACCATAGAGCAACCTGAGTTCTTAATTAGAAGTAAATAGGAACTTTTCATATGTAATAAACATGCCAGAAAATCCATAGAAATGTCAGTAAAAACTTAACAGCTTTAATCTGACAAGGTCAAATTAGGGGATTAATTTTTATTCTTAAAACTATGTGTCTCAAATTAAAATCCAGCCAAGACGTTAGTTTCAGGGTATCTCACTGGCTATCTTCCACGTCTTCAGCTGGACTTCACAGGAAGGCAGATGCACCAACACTCCCTCCCCCCCCAGACTACCCCAAGAGACCCTGAGCCCACAAGGTCAGAAACTACATCATTATTCAAATCTGTAATTCCCTGCACTAATGTTGAGCCAAAAACATTTGTTGAATTGAGTTTCTGAGTATTTATGCTACCTTTCCCTCATTCACCATAGTCAAAGCTGTTACCTTCACCATCACAGAGACGAGCTCACATTAGCCCAGAGAGCTCTTCTCCAAACTCCCCATCAGCAAAATAAACTTTAAATTGGTACAAGTGATAGAAAGCATTGTCACATAGGAATCTTCTCTTGGGACATAAGTACCCAATGTGAAACTAGTTATAGTTCTGACAGTACCACATCTGAGGCAAGTGTATTAACCAACTGGGTCAAAAGTTCTCTAAAGGCATTCTGAAGCCAACAATTCTACAATCATAAAGAATGGACCATCTCTCCTCTCTTTCCACATGCTACTACCCATGCGCTCCAAGGCTCTAATGGGGGCAATTCAAAATTCTCTCTGCTCAAATAATCACATGTACCACGGAAATCTGTCAGAACACAATACTCAAAGCTCATACCTAAGAAGAGACCAAAGTTAATACAGAAAAAATTAACTGGACTTTTCTTCCAGCAGGCACAATATAGGTCCAAATACCATATATAAAGCATGGCATGATAATCACTATACAGTGACCATTAACCCATCTAATTCTGAAGTTGAAAAGATGTACAAAGGGAACAAAAACCATGTAAAGGGAGAAGGTCATGATTTGGTTAATCCAAAGGAAGTCAAATCCTTATTTATTAATAAATAAATCTTTAGTGAAATTTTTCATATTCTCCTTTAGTAGAAAAGGGTTTGAAAAGAGCTATGCTTGATAAAGAGAAATAAATGTTCCTTAGAGAAAACAATTAATCTGTGCTTAATAAATTACATCTACAAAAATTAATTTGATTAATAGGACTCATTTTGGCACAAAAACACTAAAAGCCCTTTAGCAAAACCGTAAGATTTAAGCTCTAGAAATAACATTAGGGAACAGTTTTTCCTTAATTCTCACCACAATGGCTGGCAGACCCCTCTCCCAGCAGCCCTCTCGACTGCTCTGCGGATGCTGACTCGTGCTCACCTGAGTGCCTCTGTGCACGACATGGCCTGGACACCCATCGGTAACTTGGCCTTACTGCCCTCTGAGCAGGTCACACACCACCCTCTCTACGCAGTCCTGCTGTGACCACTGCTTTGTGCCAACTGTCCCTTCCAGCTGGTGCATGTTTTTCGACTCCTTCCCTTCCTGCTTCAGTTCCACCACATCAGAGCCCCCGGAAATGAGGGAAAACAGGGTTCTGCGCAGGCCGCCTTACTGTCCCAAAGCACTGTGCGTCAGCATCTGAAGTCTGGGAACCACAGCTAGCTCACCTCACTGCCCCTCAACGCGGACTAAGCCTGTATACTTGTGACAATGATGAGAACAAAAATCAACAACTGGGTTTTTTTTCATAAACAAACACACAATTCTCCATTGCTTCTATTCAGCCAATTTCTAAAGAACACAAAAAATGTTTCTCTCCTGTTTTATTACTTACTTCATTTCCCTGCAAAATGATTAAAACAACAGTAAATGTTGAGTTGTATTGCTTACTTGTTTTTACCTTGCTGATTTTTAAACTTCACATGTAATTCTAAAAACCTAATTGTTTGCTGTGTAATAAATAACTGTATCAACACAAGATAACTGCCTAGTTTCCATAAAGTTTTGAAGACACAAACTAGACAGAGCTAGCCTGCGCACTGATTGCGGAGACCAGTCTACTTTCTCCAGATTCCCAAGCCCCAGCTCAAATAGCACCTCCACTGGAGAGCCTCCTACCAATATTTAAAACAAAAATGGTAGCTTATTTTCTCAGGATTCTTTTTTTCTCATTGGATATTAGCTGACCCTAATGTATCTGCTAGTGTATCAAGCCCCATCCTCACTTAGCAATTAAGGAGTGTGGACAGGGCTTGATATGGTAGTAGATACATTAGGGTCAACTAATATCCAATGAGAAGCTACCATTTTGTTTTGCTCCTCCCTATACCTCACATAACTACTACTCTTTCAACCTGAA